ATTATGGGTCATTATTCAGTATTATCATTACTGTGGGCAAAACATGAAATTCCATTTTTGGCAGATTCCAATTAATTTCCTTGGTGGGTCAAGGAACCTTTCAAGATTTACAATCCCTCAAGACACAAAACACCTTTCATCTTTTTTTTTGAAGGCTCTATTCTATTTCATCTATTTCCCTGGCTCAAATCTTCATGACTCTTTGCTCATATTTATCGATGGAGATGCAGCCACCACACTGGTCACCTGTCAGAAAGTGGCAATTAGTTTAGCATGTCACAAATCAGCTGTTGAAACTGTATGTACACTATATGTTCATAATATAGTATTATTGCTATCAATGAAGAGGCTACCACGTATTTCAGAAACCATTGTAACAGAAATTTGATTAAAGAAATGGGAGTAAAAAAAAGAGATGTAGACATACCAGGGCCTGCATGATCTCTTTGGTGAGAATAGATGTTACTCAACCAAACCATCGTATCACATTACATAGAGACATCACAGTATGATGGTTAAGACACAGCTTTGATATGAGGCACTACAAACCTTTGCTCTGCCATGTATCAATACTTACTATGTCCTTAAGCAGGTTATTTAGCCTCTCTATGCCTTAGTGTTCTCATTTATAAAACCAGGGATAACAATAATACCTCCTTTATTGGTTTTTCTTAATAAGAATCAAATAAAAGTGAATTCAGAACTCTTAGCTAAAAAAAATAAGCAGTCAATAAGTACTTTTAAAATTTATGGTTAGTTTTTTTCTATCTCTTTCTTCATAGATTATGTATCTTTTTCTCTCTGTCTTTGGACCTGATCATTCCAATACTCTCACCAACACGAGGTGTTTACCTATCTTTAGAAATCTACCTTGGCTTCATAGTAACTACCTTAGTGTTTTCTATCTCAGACTTTAGGATTTCATCTTAGTTCACTTCAGACACACTCCAGGCATGCAGCAGTGTATAATGGGAAAAGATTCAGACATGGTGCTATCAAATAGAAATAAAACATATGCCACATGTGTACTTTTATATTTTCTATTAGGCGCATTTAAAAAAGAAAGAATCAGCCAGATGCAGTGGTTTTGCCTGTAGTCCCAGCCCTCAAGAGGTTGAGGAAGGAGGATCAATTAGGCTCAGGAGTTCATGCCCAGCATGGGCAACATAGCAAGACCCAACCTCTTGTAAAATAAAATTAGAAGAAAAAGAGAAAAAAGAAACAGTTGGAATTTTAATAATATACTTACTTATGTGAATATATCCAAATTATTATGATTTTAACAAGCAGCAATCACCACATTTCAAGTGTGCTATAACTACATGTGCTTGCTATATAAGACAGTACAGGCTTAGAGTCAAATGAACATGGATTCAAATTCCGGCCCTGCTTTTCAGTTGCTCTAAATCTGCTTCTTTATGTTAAAAATCACTATCTCCAGATATTGTGAGAATTAAATAAAACCAGCATATTCAAAGCATTTAGCACAATGCCTACTTACAGGCATTCTCATTAAATGAGAATTCTCTTACCCCAACCTTCTACTATAGAACTGAATACTGGCTCAATATAGTGAAATCTGTGATCTAGGCCTTCTTCCTTCCTTTCTCGCTCTCTATAAACTGTGGCCTTTTCTCCCACCCACACGCTCTCCCTCTTTGCTTCCTAGCAACTATAAATTTGACTCAGTAGAGTTATTTCTAGAAGCCTCGAACCCTTGTAGTCATGACCCAAGTATGTGATTTCAAGAAACTAAAAAAAACTCACGCCTGAAAGAGAAATTCTACCATCTCCTTCTCCTCTGCCCCTGTTGAATCCACCTCCCCAGCTGGCCCTACTGCCTACTCAGACAGAGTTTCTCCCTCATTCAGGGGTTCCCACTGCTGCAGCTTCCTCAGCCTCAGCCTCAGCCATCAACATCAGTGCTTCTCCATTGAAAGAGAGTCTAGAACCAAACATTAAGAGAAGCTGAGCAGCATTTTGCGAAATAACTGGCCAGTACCCTTTAAAATTGTCAATGTCACAAAAGACAATGATTAAGGAACTGGCATATATTGGAGGTGACTAGAGAGCCATAAAAAATGAAAATATGGGATCTAGAGTAGAATTTTTGCCCCAAAAAAGGACATCAGTGGAAAAACAGGTAAAATTTGATTAAGGTCTACAGATTAGACCTAATAATATTCTACTGATATCAATTTCCTGATTTCGATAATTGAATTATGGTTCTATATAATGTTAATATTAGGGGATTTATAGGAACTCTCTATACAATTTCTGCAATATTTCTTCAAAATAAATAAAGTAAAATAAGGTTAAAACACTGTTAAATGTGATTATTTAGACTTTATTATGAAAGAATCTCTGTCCCAATGGACTTGTTAAGTGATATATTATTGTGAAATAACGCTACTTACACTAAGCCAGGAAGGCCATCACAAAGGTTAATGAAAAGTCAATTCCAAGATATAGAAAATCCACCTTAATCACCACTGTTAGTTCATAAATCCACTAAGAAAGTATGATGTCACCTACATATACTGAGGAGTTGATGATACCAAATCAGTATTTTGTGTGACCAGTAATGTTATTAAATAAATATAGTTACTGAATAACATGCTTAAACAGTAACTCCACTGTGACCAACTTTTTACAGAAAGAAAGGGATGGGAAAAAATAAGAAATATACACAAAAAAATAATATGCACCCACCTGCCTCCACCAGACCTCCCATGCTTTAGGAAACAACACTGGTTGACCAACTCTGAACAAAACCCCTTGCAATAGAAAGGACGGTCTGCTTTGCTATAGTATGTTTCTCTAACATAAAGTAACATAGACAATTGGTAAATGAAGAAAAGATTTCAGTGTAATGCAGAAGTTATATTGGTTCATATGTAATTTTTTTCCCAGATCATTAATGTTTTGCCTTATTATTAGTAAAGGCAATTGAAGGCTATGTACGCTAATGGCAGCAAACCAGGAAGGAATCCATATTATAACATTCAACCCTTCTCTTAGAAGTGCTATTGCAGTTAACCCTGATCTTTGTTAATAAATAAATAAAGTAATACAAAACAAAAGCAGGGCATACAATCTGGTATCAGTACATTTTGTACAATAGCTTACAAACTTTTCTCTACTTATGACTTCTGATTTTAACATCTTTCTGCCCTTGTATGCACAGATAACCTCAACCCTTCCTTATACCTTATTCAGTATCAGATTTTTTGTTTCTTTCTCAAAGTAACAATATTGCTTCATGATCATCTGTTGTTAAATATATAATACCAGTGACCAAGCACTCTTTTATGTAAATGGCTCCTCTAGGAACAAGCATATGAAAGTTTGTGTTATTTGTCCATGACAAAGATATAGCACATAACTGAATCATTAAAAACACAGTTCAACTGGAATGACTGTAATTTATATATGAATCCCAATTTGAGTAGAATAGTTTTGAAGTTAATGTATACAATAAATATCAATCACTATGAATATTTCATAAAAGGATAGTGTGCTCTTTTTAATATACTCCATGATATGGTAGGGTACTTTTATGGACCCATGCAACCCTGAATATCAAGGAGCCTTGTTTGAGTTTTCAATTATCTATTCAAGTCCCCTTGGTTGGAGATAGTCAGCATGTTTCTCACGAGGGGGAAAAAAATACTGCACATTTGTCTGTGTATAGTGTGACCTCTTTCACTTGGGTGGGTATCCTTTCCATCACCAACTAAGTGAGGATGTAACCTTGTCAAACCAAAGGCAAAAGAATAATAAGCATACGACAGGCTAAGTCAGCATAGGAAGGTTGTTTAGGAGGTTGCAAAGATAATACTCTGAATGACAAAATAAAAGTACACTTCAAAGAGCAGGTTAATATTTTTAAAAGCACTCAAAACCTGAGAAGCATTTAATATCCCTCCTTGGATGTCTGCCATACAAAACTCCACTTGAATTTATTTCATTAGTCACTAACCAGATTTGGTTAATATGTTTTCAAATGAATACTGGTAGAATAGTCTTGAGAGAAACACATTTATAGAATATCTATTTCCATAAAGCACTAGCCAACAGTAAGTATGAATAAGCAGGTGTTGGTTTGCTTTTACCAAACAATTACAAGTTACCATCCAACAGAAAAAATCCTTCCAATTCAAAAATCCAAAATATAAATGGGAAAAGTCTTTACCCAATATTTTTACTGTCGCCAAGACAAATGGCAGTAACACTGCTACATTAATTGCTGCCCCTAACTGGCATAACAGGGAATCATACTAAACCATTTTTATAAGTATTTGAAAGCAGAAGAAATTAGACAAGTTTGGCTGCAGTCTTCCTAGAGTAAATTTAAAGCAAACAAACAAAAATCTCCAAACCATTTAAGCAGTCCTAGGACTATGTATTATATCATCACGTCAGTTATGCACAGCTTGACATTCTTTTTCTACATTAAGACTGGAATGAAATTTTTATTTCTGACCAGTCATAATATTGTAACAGTGAAACAGTGCCACCTATTGGCCCCAAACAGAAGCATCCAGTACTAGTCTTTCAAACTTCCTTTTTCATTAAACTCCTGATATATATAAACGTCAATTATTTTCATGTCACAATTATCACCTTCTAGGAATACTTTTTAGCTATACAAACCAAGAAAACATTGGGCTAACAAAAAAAGTTGCTTACCAAGATGCAAAATTTCAAAATATTCCAAAGTAATACTAAATGCATATATCTTTAATAATTTCTAATCAACATTTCATTAAACACATTTTAGCCAATTCAAATACGTTAGTCAACAAACATTTTAAACGCAAAAGAAAAATTTCTTTTTATAGCATTGTTACATTGCAAAATTCATTTTTAAAAACACATATTTAACCTGAATTCAATTTAATAATGGGCAACATGATATTAACAATGGATTACCAGTTAAATCATCATAAGTATAAATAATTTTATATACAAATATATTATGCTTCTGAATTACTCACACCAATGATACAATGTCACCACGGTGTACTTCAAAATTCCTCACTTTCCAGTGGTTCAAAAGCACCACATCAGATGACTGGCTCCCCCCAGGATTCAAAGAAGGCTAGAAAATAAGGAGAAAAAGACATATCTATCATTTGCATTTTTCAATCTTCATGGTTCTTGCACTTCATAGCTCGAGTGGAGTGAAATAAAACATTTCTAATACAGTACCTTTCTATAAATTGCTGTTCTAAAGTAACTACAAATTATGAGTTCTCAAAAAGGCTCGTTGGGATTCTTCACAGATGAACCAGAAAAAAATGAATTACCAATAGGTATTTGAAAGGAGCATGTGCCAGACATTAAAATCTTTAGTAAACTCTAGTAATGAGGTAAGAAAAGACTTAAGAATAGTATAAAAACATGAGGAGGAAGTGAGTCAAACCTCCTAACAAAATATTCAGATAGGATCTAATTCCACGGTAGTACACACCATTGTTCTATCTGGGGAAAAGAGGAAATAATCCCAATTCACAATCATAACCACAAATCTTTAAGGTCATATGAAGAACTGAAGGGGACAAAAGAAAGAGGTGACAGGATTATCATTTTAAAATGAATGGATTTCCCATGTTGACCTGTCTTTTCTCAAAAGAGCACATGTCCTAAGGGTCTTGGTCCCAGTTTGAGCCTAATAAGGGGCCTTCATCCTAAAATTCAGAGAAGTCTTACTGTGCCTGAGAATTAATGGAGCAAAAACTAAGAAATAGTTTGTGTAAGAATTTTTCTAAAGGTCAGGAGCCATATAGGCATAAAAATTTGATTGGGGAACCATGAAACCAGCATACCTGTCATTTGGACAGGGGTACAGACAAAGCCAATGAATAACAAGCTTGAGGCAAGAAAAGGGGGACAAAAGAATGAGAAAAGCTGAGACAGCGTTTTCACTGTTTTTCATTTTTTTTTCCTTTTTTATTTTGATAGCTTTTGTAGGCAAATGGGTGTTCGGTTACATGAATTAAGTTCTTCAGTGGTGATTTATGAGATTCTGATGCACCCATCACCCAAGCAGTGTACACTGTACCCAATGTGTAGGCTTTTACCTTTCAGTACCACCCACACTTTCCCCCCAAGTCCCCAAAGTCCAATGTATCATTCTTATGCCTTTGTGCCCTCACAGCTTAGCTCCCACATATCAGTGAGAACATACAATGTTTGGTTTTCCATTCCTGGCTCACTTCACTTAGACTAATCGTCTCCAATTCCAACCAGATTGTTGTGAATAACATTATTTTGTTCCTTTTTATGGCTGAGTAGTATTACATGATATATTTATAGACCACATTTTCTTTATCCACTTGTTGACTGATGCGGCATTTAGCCTGGTTCCGTTTTTGCAGTTGCAAATTGTGCTGCTATAAACATGTATGTTCAAGTATCTTCTTCATATAATAACTTAATTTCCTCTGAGTAGATACCTAGTAATGCTAGGAATTGTTGGATCAAACAGTAGATTTACTTTTGTTATTTAAAGAATCTCCACACTGTTTTCCATAGAAGTCGTACTAGTTTTACATTGCCACCAACAGTGTAAAACTGTTTCCTTTTCACCACATCCACACCAACATCTATTATTTTTTGATTTTTTTATTATGGTCATTTTTGTAGGAGTGAGGTAGCACTGCATTGTGGGTTTGATTTGCGTTTCCTGATAATTAATGATGTTGAAGATTTTTTCATATGCTTGTTGGCCATTTGTATATCTTCTTTTGAGAATTGTCTACTCATGTCCTCAGCCCACTTTCTGATGGGATTGGTTTTTTTCTTGCTGACTTGTTTGAATTATGACTCTCCAAGAGTGCTTCCACGGGAAATGGCCATTTCTGTGGTGATAGGAAAGGTGCCAAACAACAACTGAGGTTCTCCACCCTCATCGCAGGGCTGATGACAGCAGCCAGTGGAGACACAACCACAGGCACAGCAAAAGCAGGGAAAACAGTGAACGCGGGGCAACAGCCAGTCCCTGGAGCAGTAATGACACGTCTTTTGTTAAAGATTCCTGGGATTATTTGTAGATTTTCTAAGAAGAAAGAGTTGACAAATACGTCAAAATTCTTCGTGGAGCCTGTTATCCTGACATTATTTTTGATCCAGGGCTTTGGAGCTGAAAAATATTGGTTATCCTTGAACATCTCAAACACTGCCAGAGCTTTCACCAACTCCTTTATGTGATAATACCTAAATCTCTGCTTTAAATCTCAGTTTTAAATTCCCTGCTAGTCATTCTGTAACCCGGTTTTCTTGAGTGCTGGTGAGGCACAGCTCCCCCGAGAGAATGCTGTGGGTTCTTGGTCTCCAGTCTCTCAGAGAATAAGCGATGGCTGCGCCGTATGCTCCTAAAAGTAAATATCGGACCCAAGAAGTGTTGCAGAAAGGTGATTTTATTTAGCTAAAGAGAAGAAGAGAAAGACTTCCATGGTGTGGAAGGGGATTCCAGAAGAGAAATTCCAGGGGGGAAAGGGGGCTCCCACCATGTGGGAGGGGATTCCAGAGAGCTGTGGGTGAAGGAGTAGGGGAATTTATCCCGGGAGAAAGTCCCACCTTCCCAAGTTCCTCTGGCCAATGAAAGGAGCTCCTTTAAACTTCTGCTGGGGTGATTGATTCTTAGTCTCTTCCTGCGCCCGCGAAATTCAAATATAAACCATTAAATCTCCTGGATGGAGAGAGATGGGAGGGGGCATGGCACTGGGAAATTCTTGACCTTAAAACTGCACCCCCTCATGGACCCGGAAGGAGAACACATTCCCTCAATTTCACTTGACTACCTGACAAAAAATTCAACAGGATTAAAATGGAATTTGTTATCATTTCCTAACAAAGTTTTCTTCCTTCCTTTTTTTTTTTTTTTTTTTGGAGACAGAGTCTTGCTCTGTCACCCAGGCTGCAGTGCAGTGGCACAATCTCGGCTCACTGCAACCTCCGCCTCCCCGGTTCAAGCAATTCTTCTGCCTCAGCCTCCCAAGTAGCTGGAACTACAAGTGCACCACCACACCCAGTTGTATTTTTAGTAGAGATGCGGTTTCACCATATTGGCCAGGCTGGTCTCAAACTCCTGAACTCGTGATCCACCTGCCTCGGCCTCCCAACATGCTGGGATTACAGGCATTAGTCACCTTGCCTGGACTCTTTTTTTGTTTCTTTTAAAGAGGGTCTCGCTGTTTTGCTCAGACTGAAGTGCAATGCCATGATCATGGCTTACTGTAGCCTTGAACTCCTGGGCTCAGTCTCCCAGGTTCCCATGTAGCTAGGACTACAGGTTTACAAGTGCATACCACCACACTCAGCTAAATTGGTTTCGTTTTTTTGGAGTTTATTTGTCTTTGTTTTATGGGTTTTTTGGTACAGATTGGGGGATCTTGCTATGTTGACCAGGCTGGTCTCAAACTCCTGGCCTCAAGCAATCCTCATGCCTTAGCATCGCAAAGTACTGAGACAACAAGTATGAGCCACTATGCCCAGCCCTTTCTTATTTTCTTACTTCCTGTCTACCCTTTTCTCAGTCGACCAGTTTAAAAATCTTAGTTGTCTTTTTACTAATCTAGAAAACATATTCTAGATAAGTATAGTAAGACATTTTTTGTGTCTCAACAAGTTAGGCAATTTAAGAGTTAGAAATAGTTGAATAGGGCTTTATTATTCATAATGAAATAATGGTAATCACAACACATTAAAATATCCTTATTGTTTATTTATGAATCTAACACTTATGAATATCAACAATGCATCATAAAGAAAAACCTTCTTGAATTGGGAAGTTATTCCCATAGCACCTTAAGAACCATAGTTCTCTGTATGTCAATAAAAACAAAAGCTTTATGAAAAAGAAAAAAAACAGCCAGAGCAAGCAATCTTTTCAAATTGATGAAGACATCATATGGAAATAAAAGTCATGAATAATAATCTTATGTTACCACAGAATCTGTATTTTCTTGTTACTATTTTAAATCCTAGATTCCAAAGGACTACATCAAAATGTAACTAACTTCAAGTAATAAAGTTTTTGAAGAAATCCTAGAGAATATTTAATCTGGGAGTTTCCACCTGTATCTCAAAGTATGTGATTGTATCAGATATTCCTGCTACTAGTCATTGATTTCCAGTAACAAGGGGAAAAACACTAACTCACAAAGAACAAGCCAAGCCCAACACCTGCTCCGCGTGTCTTTTCTTCAACAACTTGTACTCTTATACTCACCTATTTCTCTGCTTCTACCATGGACCACTAAAGTTAAAAATCAAAGTTGGAGCAGTGTTTTGAAGAGTCCTTGCTCTAAACACTGAAAACTATGTTCAAATCTTGTCTCCATTTCTTATTAACCATATTACCTCATTTCCTCATCTTGCCTCATTTCCTCATCTATAAAATGGGGACTAATTGCAGTAACACTTGACCTTATGGGGTTGCTACAAGAATAAAACTGATAGTCTACAAAACATTACAGTCATGATACAGAGTAGCAGTCAACAAATAGGACACTAATGATGGCAACAACAAAATAAAGGGAAACAAAATCAGATACAGTATCTTTTCCATAAGACTTAAGAAAAATTAAACATTTAAATATTGCCCTGCACATTTCTCATTTTACATAGTAAACTGAAAGTCTTCAGGCAGAAAATGCTACCCTTCATTTCTAAACTTTTTGTTGATTGTCTCCTCACTTGTTTTAAGCAAGTAGTTGGCATACTTTCATTTGCAGCCTTAATTGTTCTGCCTCTATAAATTAATCCAAAAAATTTTAATGTGCATAATTATGAATACCTTTAAGAATTTTACACCCACTACGTGTTAAATTCTTATTTTTAAAACACACACACACATATACAGACATATATAAAACATATGCACTTAAAAAGCTAACACTCCTTAGCTCTGATTGATGAAATTATGATTTCCTTTTCTGCTGACCCCTCCCCCCACATTGTTTTCCTCTGGCTCAGTTGTATTTCACAGATTGTTTTTTATAACGAATATATATTTAGTTCGTATGCTTTGTTCTGACCTAAGCACCACATAGTTCACTCTAAGATATACAATATAAGTCAGCAGATTTCAGCAGA